GTCTGCTCCAGCGCCTGCCGCTCACAGGGCAGACACCCGCAAAGCATTTCTGTGCCTCCAGCCCGCGCTGCGCCCGGAGATCCAGGGGACGTCCCCCCATGTCGGGGAGTTTAGGTTGTCTAGAGACCGTCCCTCCTGCTGGAAAGGCAGCGGCATCCCCGGTGCTGGCCCTGCAGCTCGCAGCAGCTTTGCACTCCAGCTGCCGTCTTATTCCCTGCCGCTCACAGGGCAGACACCCGCAAAGCATTTCTGTGCCTCCAGCCCGCGCTGCGCCCGGAGATCCAGGGGACGTCCCCCCATGTCGGGGAGTTTAGGTTGTCTAGAGACCGTCCCTCCTGCTGGAAAGGCAGCGGCATCCCCGGTGCTGGCCCTGCAGCTCGCAGCAGCTTTGCACTCCAGCTGCCGTCTTATTCCAGGACTTTAAGGAACAAATGGTGCATCACGCAACCACCAACCACCCCCGGCCTGTGCCAACTGCCTCCGCGTCGGGTCGCTGGTGATGCTGCTCCACGCCTCGTCCACGGTTTTCCTAGAGGTGGGTTCCAGCACCACGGTGCGCTTAGGCTTCCCTCTGGCTGCACTGCAGGGGGTGCGTGGCAAAGCCCCTCCCGTGCTGCCCCATTGCCTGGGTTTATTGGTAGGACTGGAAGGGACCCTGGGAGTTCTGGCCCGGTCTGGGATCCTGTGGTGTTCCCTCTAAACCCGCCTGCTGAGGCACAAAGTTCGAAGAACTCTCCGCAGCGTTTTCTCTTGGGTGGAGCCGTTCGGTCTCCTGTGCTGGGCCAGGTGCTGAGCCTGCTCTCTACTCACGCAACGTTCCTTCTGGAGGAGCACGAGAGGATTTCACCAGACGTCTCCTAGAGCAGGGCTGGGACCTTTCTTGGGTTGGCGGCCGCTGACCCACAGAAAAATCAGTTGGGTGGGGCCAGCGGGGGCTGGAGCACTGGCGGGGGCTCCCCAAGGCTGGGGGAGAGGAGCCCTGTGCCCGGAGGCTGGAGCCAGGCAAGCTGGGGGTCACAGCTGGCCCCTGGGCCTCGGGCTCCCCGCCCCGTCCTAGACAATTGCACTGGCGTCCCATGAGCAATGGTGTCAAATTCAGAACCTGCATGTCCCGTACGTTGTGTAGTGCAGGGAGGTTAGACGCGTGCGGAGCACAAACGTCAGCGCTCCAGTCCCCTCGACCCTCCAGAGTCCGTCACTGCCCTTCAGTGGCAGCTACCGGGGACGTTTGGCTGGACTGTATAGCTACTTGTGCTCACATGTTAAGTGACCACTGATTTGCATGCGCCAGCTTTGGGGGCCCAGCTTTGACCCCCTGAATTTCAGCGGTGCGGGGTCCCGGCAGCTCCCCGAAAAGCAGACTCCTGGTGCCACAAGCTGGGATGTTTCCTTCTGCTTTCCCGGGCATGCTGGCATGGCGCCTCTCTGCAGAGTGGGCGCGCAGCACACGGACCCTGGCTCAGCACCACACAAGTCCCTGCAAGCGCCAGGGCTCTCACATCTGAGTCTAGGTGGCTGAGTGAACATGCAGCCGACGCCAGGCAGTTTCCAGAGCTGGGCATGTCCCCACTTAGGAGCGTCGGATGGCACCTGCCCTACAGGCTACAGACACGCGAGCTCTGGGTTAATGGCCAAATACCAGAATTCATGGATCCCTGTTGCCTCTCCTCCGGCCCCATTTGCTGCTGCTTCCAGACACGCAGAGGCTGTAGAAGGAAGTTCAGCTGTTGGGTCTGATTCTTTGTGCCTTGTGTCACCATTGATACCGGTGCCAAGGGGGGGCGCCATGCTGCCATTCTGAGCTGAGAGCTTTCTACGCTCATTGTGCCCAGCGGACGATGAAGACACGGGGCAGGCAGCTGACAGTCTCGCTGCTGAAAAGACCGACATAAACGTTGGCCCTGGAGTAGGTAAAAACCTAAAAGCGATTTATTAAATAAAATGCAGAGCACGGTATATAACCCCCCCCCACACACACACACACCGGACATGGAATTTCCTGCACTCAAAGGGTCTTCACAGTCTCCAGGAGCTGCTGCGTGTGCTGAGGGGGGATCCGTTCTCTCGGCCGCTGCGGCGACTGATGGGTGCTGGCTGTTGCACTGCGCTTCCCCGCACCCTGGGGTGTCACCCCCGCCTGGCAAGAGCGGCCGGGTTCGTCTCTTCCCAGATAACCGAGTAGTTTCATTACTTGCACTGGACACGCATGAGCCAAGTTTTCTTCTTAATTTTCTCGTCCATGTTCCTGGTTACTCGGCTCATCGTTTACCCATGCAGGTGAGACCCCCCCTTTGCGTTGCTGCCGGTTTCTTCACAGGCGCCGCCCATGGAACATTCCAGAGAAGCGCGGCCGGGTTCGTCTCTTCCCAGATAACCGAGTAGTTTCATTACTTGCACTGGACACGCATGAGCCAAGTTTTCTTCTTAATTTTCTCGTCCATGTTCCTGGTTACTCGGCTCATCGTTTACCCATGCAGGTGAGACCCCCCCTTTGCGTTGCTGCCGGTTTCTTCACAGGCGCCGCCCATGGAACATTCCAGAGAAGCCAGGGGC